TCTAATTAAATAAGAATAGCTCACAAATAACTTAATTCATTTACACCCTTAATTACAATTAAAAATCTCAAATATCAATTTTTTTAAAACTAAAGATTTTCTAAACTTTAAGAAATTTCATGTAAGTTTATGATAAAAAAAAAAAAGCACAAGTGGCCTTTGATGACTTTTTTTGGGTTTATATTGTTGGACTTTTTGGATTGGAATCAAAATGGAGTTGATCGTAAACATATATATATATATATATATATATATATATAAACTCAAAACCGCGTTAGGTTTAACATTTGACTAAATGTGAAGGAAGTATCTTTGCAAATTCTTTCCAAATCCTTCCATGTGTTTCTTCTATTTATTAATTTGTTATTCAGCTGAACATACTTTTGCTTTTTTCCTTGCTGACGAAGGCGAAATGTGGAAACATCTCAAGGTTTGTTTTCAACATTTCTAAATCAAAATTTTCAATTTGAATTTAGATCTCCCTCGATCTTAATGAAATCAACTCAAATTACGTACATCTTATAAGCATTTCACATATTAGAGCCTAGGGTTGACCTAATTTTATACGAAGTTTCCATGACTTCAAGCTTTATTTGAGTCTAATCTTATTTTTGGATGATTTTAAGTGTGTAATTTTTCATAGCGACATGATGTATTCAGGGTTATTATTATTTCAACATATCATTAGAGATTAATAATTAAACGATTATAAAAATATTTACTTAAATTTTGATAATTAAATCAAAAGATTTAATAATTAAGTGATTACTTAAAAAAAATACGAGTATAATTTAATGATCAATAATATATTTTACCTTGATTTAAACGACAAATTACATGTTGTAGTAGGAATCCCTTTTTTATGACTTTGTGATCCTCAATCATTTGGGATCTTTGCATTCCATCATTTTCAGTTCGAATTAAAGTTGTTTAGATTCCTTATGAAATTTTTTGGGTAATTTTTTTTTTTTTTTTTATGATTTTTTGACCCAACATCTCATCCGCGTTGGATCTTTGTCATTCTATCATTAGTTAAATGGTGTAAATCAATTTAAAGAACAAGTGTTATTTTCTGTTCAAAATATATGTAGTTAAACCTAGTTTCGCCAAAAGAATTAATAAATAAAGACTAGTCGATTTGGTATTGTTTTTAACACTGTATTTGGTAATAATAATAATAATAATAATGAAATTGAAGGAAAAGTTTGAGAATAAACCTATTATATATGATTTATTAGTAAGAAGGAAGCATGAAAAAGAAAGAACAACAGGTGAATTTGCAAACTATTACTTCCTCAAAATCCAACCAGACTCTATAATTGAGTTTGTTTTAGATAATTATTGATTATTCTGGCAAATCCAATATGTTCCTATTGTAATAGCTCTTATATATTATTAATTTGAGGGATGGTAATTCATTAATAATCTTAATGAGAGAAATTTTTTTCTTTTAAGTGTGACTAAAAGAAAATTGTGAAGTAGTACTGAGTAGTAAATCCATTATATATACTTAAAGTATATTACCAGGATAAGCAATTGTTAGAACTTATAGTTGGAGATATTTTCAGACTTTATTTCGGTTTAATCTTTTCTGATGATGTTAAGAGTGCATTCTCTCACATTCAACCAATTTATCATCTCGACGTGAATGCCCTTTTAAAAAATTTAAAAATTTTGAAAATTTTAGAAAGATTCTAGAAAATTTTAAAATTTCAAAAGGAATTAAGGAAATTTAAAAAATTTTCAAATTTAAAAAAAATCCAAAAAATTAAAAAAAATTAAAAAATGGCGAATTTAATAAAATTTAAATTTTTGTTAAAATTAAAAGAAATTAACAAAAACTCAAAAAAACTAAAATAAAAAATAAAAACTTTTTTGAAAAAATATAATAATTTTTAAATTTTTTTTAAAAATTTTAAAAAAATCTAAAATTTTAACATATTTTTTAATCTTACAATTTCAATTTTTTTTATCTATTTTTATTTTTTTTTAATTTTGGATTTTTATCTAATTTTTTTTTAATTTTAAAGAATTTAAAGTTTTTAGATTTTTTGTTGTTTTCAGTTTTTTAAGTTTTTGTGATTTTTTTAAACTTTCAGAAAATTTAATTGATATAAAATTTTAATTTTTTAATTTTTTTAAAAATTTTCATAATTTTTAAAATTCTCTTATGATAATTTTATAATTTATAAAAATATTTCATATTTTTATAAATTTTATAAATTTTTAGAATTTTTTAGAATTGTTTTAATTTTTTTAGAATTTTTCAAAATTTTTAAGAAATTAAAAAAAAGTTTGATTTAAAAAAAAAAAAGTTTGATTTTTAAAAAAATTTAAAAATTTTTCAAAATTTTAAAAAAAATTTGGAATTATTTTGAATTTTTATAAGTTTTTTAAAATTTTTTTGAAGTTTTTAAAATTTTCTTAGAAATTTTATAAAATTCTTAGAACTTTAAAAAAAATTTAAAAATTTTTTTTAATTTTTAAAAAATTTTAATATTTTTTAAGAAATTTTTGAGAAAATTTTTAAATTTTTTAAATTTTTTATAATTTTTAAAAAATATTAATATTTTTTTAAAAAAATTTTAAAATTTTTTAGAAATTTTCTTTTAAATATATAGTGCACATGACATGACATTGATAACGTGATACTGATTTAACTTTTTGATACATGTCAACATCTTATTGGATATTCATGCTACGTCATTAAAATTGACTAACGGCATTAGTTTTAGATACCAACGTGATAATGAATTTAAACATTTAGGTACTAATGTGACAAAAAAATTTATTTAGGTATTATTGTGATAAAAATACAAAGTTAAGGGATAAATATGTATTTAATTGTTAAAAAAATAAAATTATCAGTTTCATACTCTAATTTTTATTTCGTTATCCACTTTAATATCTATTGGTTGGGCAATGAAATTGATTTAGATCAAATTAAAAATTACAATGACAGTGAGATTAATTACTATAGTAGTGAGATTGGATATTTTAACAGTTATAATAAAATTAGTGGTGGTATGTGTGTTGAGATACACAAATAATAGTAACAGTGAGTTGAATTATAGTGAAAATAAAAAATGATCATTAAAGACATTAGATTAAAACTTGAATATAATAAATTTATAATATATATTTGATATTTTTAAATTAATAAATTATTAAAAATATTAAAATATTTTATATTAAATAATAATTTTATTTATAAAAATTTAAAAAATAATAAAAATGGATAAGATAAAAATATTTAATTGTTAATTAGTTTATTATATAATTATAAAATCTTATTTATTTATATTAAATTAATAAAATTATTTAAAATCTTTTAAATAAAAAAAGAAATGAAAAAAAAAAGTTAAAGTGATAAGGAATTTTTGACCTTCCAGTATAGTTTCAAGGGTAAAAAGGAAAAAATTTTGGGAGAGCATGATTATTTTTGGAAATGGAGAGTGCAGTGGGATCAAAAATTTCTCACTCGACTCTTATAGGTCCAGTCCATTTTTAGCTTAAGTGCGTTGAAAACATCTTAATTGCACTGAAACTCTATTATCTAAACAGTAAATTCCAGCTCGATTGGACAGAAAAGCTTGCCAATGGCACCACACTGATTTTGGAGGAATTCAAATCCACCCTTACACTAATACTGTTTAATAAACTTATTGACATGATATAAATATTCAATAAGATGTTAATATATGTAAAAAATTAATCAATGTCACATTATTAATTGACACATCAATATTAAAAAAATTTAAAATTAATAAATTTTTAAAAATACATATGAAATATTTTTAAAATAAAAAATAAAAAATTTATGAAAATTTAAAAATTCAAAAAAATCTAAGAAAATTAATAAAATTATGAAAAAATTTAATAAAAAATTTCTTAAAATGAAAAAAAGATTCACAAAAATTAAAAAAATTGAAAATTAAAAAATCTAAGATTTTTTGAAAATTTTGACAATAAAAAAACTCTAAAAATTTTTTTAAAAAGTTTTAATATTTTAAAAATTTTGAAAAAATTAAAAATTTTGAAAATTTTAAAATTATAAAAAATTATAAAACTTCAAAACTTTGAAAATTTTAAAATTTCAAAAAAATCCAAAAAATTTTAAAAAATATTAAAAATTCAACTATATATATATAAGTCAAATTGTAAGATTCAAAAAATGAGAAATTTTAAAAAATGTTTAAAATTTTTTTACAATTTTTGCAAAATTTTTAGATTTTTTCATAAAATTTTAGATTTTTATTTTTTAAAGTTTTTTTTATGAAAATTTAATTTTATCAAAATTTTAATTTTTAATTTTTTCAAAATTTTTGTATTTTTTGGATTTCTATTAAAATTTTCAAAGTTTTAAAAATTTGTTAAGTTTTCTTATTTTTATTTTAAAAATATTTTACTTTTTACTTTTTATAATTTTTAAAATATTTCAGATTCTTAAAAATTTTAAAAATTTTTTCTTTTAATGTTGACGAGATAATTGATGATGTGATGATTAATTTTTTTTACACGTGTTAGAATATTATTGAATGTGCATGTAATGTTGATAAATTAATTATCGATGTTAATGTAAGATATCAAAATAAATGACTGAATGAAAATTAAAATATCAAATTAATAATTTTATTTTATTTTTATGTAACAAACTGATAATTTTATTTTTTAAATCTCAAATTGGCAAAAAAAATTATAGATGAACCATTTTTATATTCAACCTAAAAATTTGAATATATTTAAAATGTTTAAAATCTAAATAAATTTAACAACAAAAGAAATAAGTGATAAAAGATTTATCAAGCCTCATATTACTTGATTATTTACACTTCTTACTATAATCACTTGATTCTTAAAAACTTAAAATTAAGTAAAACTATGAAAAAAACATTATAGAGAACATTTCAAATTCGGTGTGTATAATTTACTTTTTTTTTTCCCCAATATCATTAGTTAAAAAATTTTAGCCAATTTGCAAAAAAGAAAAATAGAAAAAACAAATAAAAACGAGTAACGAACGGGTGAAACGTTAAAACATAGTTTCCTCGCATATGCTCAACCCCGCACGCCTCATCGTCACCATGGACGAACCCTTCCCGACCACCGACCCTCTTACGAACCAATTCGGATCTCTCAACGACCTAGTACACGAGCTTGCTACTCTCCAAGACCTCGCTACGCGCGGCTCCTGGCGTTCCATCCTCGACAAAGTTTCCCTAGCCCGTTCCCTCAACCTCCTAACCAACCCCCACGACAACCTCATCTACCTTTCCTACAACGTCCTCGCCCTCTCAAAATTACGCCGCTTCACCGACGCTTCAAACGAACTCGACTCTCTCCACGACTTCAACAGCCACCATTACAAATACGAAACCTACCCTCAACTTTACCCGAACCGCTCTGGTTCAATGGTCCCCTTTTCTCTGCGGTTCATCCAAGCCCAACTTCGGATTAAGCTTGGGAACCGCCAAGAAGGGTTAGATCGGTTTTATCTTTTGCTTAATTTTATTTGTCAGAAAATAAAAGAAAAAGAATGCAATAATTTAGAGGAGTCTGTCAACATTTGGAAAAAAAGGGAAAATTTTGTTCTAAATTGTTTAATTGGCCATCATTTGGGGGCTAAGGAATTCAATGTGTGTTTAGATTTGATTAAGGATTTGATTAATCGTGATTATTTAGATCCAGTTTTAGTTTCCAAATTAGGGTATATTCAGATGCAGATTGGGGATCTTAAAGGGGCAAAGGGGTCATTTAACCGTGTAGAGACAATGTTAAATGAAGGGAAGAATGATGGCTATTCTTTTTTGAGTGAGGTTGAATTTAGGAATCTAGTGAATAGAAACAAGGCCTTGGTTTATTTGGTGGGCAAAGATTATGTTTCTGCAGTGAGGGAATACGAGGAGTGTATTGAAAGGAATAACACAGATGTTGTTGCGATTAATAATAAGGCGCTTTGTTTGATGTATTTGAGGGATTTGTCTGATTCGATTAAGGTATTGGAGAATGCACTTGAAAGGGTGCCTACCATGGCAGTGAATGAGGCTATGGTGATCAATTTGTGTAGTATGTATGAGTTAGCATATGTCAATCACTCGGAGATTAAGAGGACTTTGAGTAATTGGATTGCACGTGTTGTGCCCGATGATTTTGATGCGTCCTGTACCAGGGTTTGAGGTATTCTCCATTGACTTGTTAATCATTAGTATTTTGTTACATTATCTCAATTTTGTTCAGTTAAAATCTAGTTCCTATAGATTATTTATGGAAATGATGATATTGCTTGAGATACATTGTGGTCATAATGGAAGCAATTCTATTTCCAACTGTCCGTCTATGAACTTTTATGCTTTGTTGTGTCCTATGATGCTATTATGGATGAGGTGGCTTATTTAGTGGCGTTTATTCACATAGGATTCTGAAATCAATGGTTTGTTGGATGTTAACATTGCAAATCATAGATTTCAAATGAATTCCACAAACTTTACAGACTTCATTTTTTTTTTTGTTTGAAACAGACTTTAATGTCTCTTTATATGGATAGAACCAAATTGTACTGCATTTTTTGGTTGAACCGCATCATTCTGATTTGGGTCTATGCATTTAGTTTCTTGCTTGCTAAGGAGGCTGTATGCTTATATTGATTCGTATAATGCTTCAGCCTGTAGGTGAAATATCTTAGCTTTCCACATAGCTGGCAAACTATCTAGGAGGTGATTCATTAAAGCAGTGTTTATTTTCTCTCTCTCTTTTCTCCCTTATTCTCTTAAGTGGTCTAAGAGGTTTCTTGACTCCTTGAATATGACTGAAATCTTTTATCTAGAATTTCCTGTTATTTTTACCAATGAGATTAAATGATATGCTAACATTGTCTTTGTTTTTCATCAATATAATAGTGGATTCTGCAAAAGTATGTTCTCTACCTAGTTGTCATTATATGCCTATTTTACGAGGTATTGTCCTATTTTACGAGGTATTGTCTTATATTTTTACTTGATGTTGTGTTGAAACTTCTGATACATCCATCATCTTTTATTTTGGTTCATAACAATAAACAGCCAAGTCTCTTAGAAACCACCATTTGAGATACAATTTTCCCTTCTGGCAAAAAGGGGGAAAAAAAAAGATACTATTTCCCCTCACATCCAAATCACCAGATTATGATGGTATTTTCTTTCTCTAAAATGTGATGGTACATGTAAGTATTGGTATTGGGATACTGCATATGAACCAATATGGCTGTTATAAGGTTTCTAATGGGCCATTTACCCTTGAATTAATAATCTATTTTCAAAGGTGGGAAATGTTGAGTTGGAAGTATAGAGCGGGTAGGAAATTGGATGATAGAAGTAGGAAGTATAAAGCAGAGAGTGAGAAGTAGGAACTGGAATCAAATCTTCTTAGTAGATGCAAGAGGATGTATGGGAGTTTTCTCATTGCCAAATGACTCTCACACCATATATACATAGAATTAGTCTGAGAGCACTTAATGCGATCAATGGGAAAGTGTTAGCTCATTCTGTATTAAGAGTAAAGATGATCATTATAAATTTTAGCAATTAGATGTTACTATAAGTTTGTGATAGAAGGTGGGGCTAGTGCCTTCTGTGAAATATGACACATGAGACACACTTATGAACTTCTGAGAAAGGTTAAGGGAAGAATTCTTAACTAAGTCCATGGTCGAGCCATCAAACAAAGCTTCCTGTAACATTCCTAAAGACATGCAGTTAACCAAAGTATTCTGCTACTAGTCTTGGTGTTGATGTCAGTCATGTTCCAGAACGTAAGTAGGTGGTAGCTGTAAAACATGCTTAAGAACTTATTTAATTTGGTAAATTTACAATTGATAAAGAACAAAGTATCAATGTAGATTAAAGGCTGCTTCTTTGAATGGTGGTTCACTATAAACTAAAAGCATTTAGAAGTAATAAACTGAAGCAAGTAACATTGGTTGTTTTGGTCCTTTTACTGTCTTTATATTTCCTTCTTTTGCTTTCTTAAACCTCATTTCAACAATTCTTTTGGTGTCCTTTCTGGTCGGATGAATTGCTGAATTTGGGCAGGTTTTAAGGAGTAAAGACGACAGAGCAGAGGTTTGCTAGGTCAACTTTTTGTGCTCTCTATTTTATCCCTAGTCGATTCAATTTATGGCAGCCCGAAGCTTGTAGAAGTAATACTCATGTTTACTACCTCATTAGTGGTTTCCTTTCTTTTATAAAAGGAGAATACATAGTGATTTCTTCAACTTGCCCAGCTAACCCCCAAGTGACACACTCGTACTTTAAATTTAAGATTTTGCTACTTTCCATAGAACTTGGACCTTGGATATTAATGGAGCTTTGTAAAGAAGGGGCTATGTTTGTCTAACCCATAAAAATGTAGTGATGGCATTTGTTGTTGCTAAAGTTTTGTCCCTCCTAATTCAAGAATAACCCCAGTGTAGCTCATTTTCGTGACAGACGAATGAAAATGGAGAAATTCTCAATCATAAAAAATTGATGTTTTCTTAAAATCTCGTAGATTTCCGGCGGATAGAATCTGTTGGTATTTTACATTGAAAAAACCCTGTAAAATCGGCAAATGAGATTTTGTCTCAATGCAAAGAGAAAGAATTGAAACTCATGTGCAAGTCTTATTAAGTGTAGTTTTCTGTTTGGGAATTGCTACTGATCTCAAGATTATTCTACAGTGTTATAAGCAATAAAGGTTTTTTCATTTTAATTGACCTGAAATTGGGGTTTCTGAAGATACGAAACTTGAACCCTTAAAATTCTTGTAACTCGAAGTCAAATTTTTTATTTGTTCCATACACACATTTACTTAAAATACCATCCAAAAAAGGTGTGGATCAATTTGATTCAAGCAATAAAAGTTGCTTACGAAGAGGAAAAAAACTCTATTTAATTTATTTAATTTAAGTAACTTCATATTTCTAATATTGACAAAATTTATAAAATAAAAAAACTGTTGAAAAAAAAAATAAAAAATTTAACCCTTTTTTTTTATTTGTAAAAGAATAAAAACATGCGATTTTCTAGTATAGACAGTTACATAATCTATTAGAAGAGTGTAATACACTTTATTGTCAGTGTTCAATTCAAACACTAACAGCATGAATTATAAAAAAGCCACCAAAGTGTTAGGTGATGAACATGCTGATGAGTGATAACTGGTCCAATTCAGCAAGAAGCAACGCCAAAATTAGGTTGGCACTTCCCTACTGGTCCAACTTGGTCCAATTCTCAATCCCCCTTTCCACTGTTTCTCACCCTCCTTTGGGCTAAAGGTTAGGACCAAGGTACCCTTCGGCCGTGGCTGGTCCAACTAGTATTCCACCTACCCAGCTATCTTAATTCTCCAATCACCATCATTGATGCAAATTGGAAGGGTTCAAATTCCAGGATAAAACTTAAAACACCTCACCTTCCAACATTTAAAAAAAAAAAAACTATTAACACCTCCAGGCTCCAACAACCCCTCTCGATTGTCCTGCATCCCACCAACTCCCTTGCACTTATTTTTCTTCCTTTCCTATAATTGTTTTTGGTTTGCTTTTATTTATGTGACTGAGAAAAGAACAAGGTCCAACGTTACGCCAAAACCAGTGTTTTTGCTTTAATAATTCTCTTCATCCAAATGGCAAATTTTCTTCATACTGAAACAATCATTTCCCGTGTTGGTTTCAGCTCCCAATTTTTGGGATCGAATTCCGCCTCCAAGGCCTCTGTTTCCGTTTCTTTCCCTTCTTCTCATACCAATCTCTGCTTCAAGTAAGTTTCTTTCGGGCTTTTTATTATTTCTAGCTCTTGTTTTTTATTCGGTTCTTGGGGACAAATTTTGGGTTGTTATTGCTTTTAACGAAATCTTTAATCTATCTATTCAGTTCATTGAAGAAAGACCATAAATTTGTTTCTGGGTCATCAGTTGGATCATTTAAATTAGTTAAGTTTCATGGTAGAATTGGTTTTTTTTTGCTGCTTTGACTGTAAAGATAAAGTCGCTGTAAACCAGATAGCCTTAGGTTTGAATTATGAAAGTGTTATGTCTACTTTGATTTGGTTTAGGCTGTTTTTTTCATGTGCATTAGCTATGTCAAAATCCTTTGTCATAATATGGTAAAATATGGATGAACCTTTTGAGTTGCAGCTGGCAATTAATATAGGATATGTTCTCTGCTTGATGTTAGTCTAGACCCTTTCTACAATTATTGGCTTTTCAGCAGTTAAAAGAATAGGTTGCCAATATGTACGGACATATCGTTATGGAAATGATTTCATGTAATATCTTCATTTTATGTAAATGTAAAGAGAAACATCCGTATTTTTAGTTTACCTCATGTCTTCAACTGATTCTTTGTAGTTGTATAACTATTTTAATTTAAGAAACTTTCCCAAGCAATGCTATCCCTTTGTGACACTATCCCAGGCAATGCTATCTATCGATTTAAAGATTGAAGAAAGGCCGTACATATTCTGCAAGCATTTTTAGTTTGCCTGAAAGTTATAGAAAACTAGTCTCAAAGTCTAATTGCCAAAAATCTCCCAAAGGGAGAAAGGAACACCAGATATATAAGAGAATATCATTGTCTAGTTGTATGTACATCTTGGCAGATCTGTTGAGATTTCTAGACACCAGTCATCTAGAACAAGGGCAATGTCAAAGGCAGATAGTAGCAGCTATGACCAAGTGAAAGTTGATATCTCTCTGAGCCCCAGAGTTAACTCTGTGAAGCCATCAAAGACAATGGCTATAACTGATCATGCAACTGCTCTAGCACAAGCTGGTGTCCCTGTTATTCGATTGGCTGCCGGAGAGCCTGATTTTGATACGCCAGCTGTTATAGCAGAGGTGCTTTTCTCTTTCTAATCCATTGGGTCCCTGTTGTCATTTTCTCTGTTTAAGTTGTGTCATCTTTTAGGTTTGTTTGTTTTTGGCCAGTATGTCATCTTTTAGTTTAAGAGGCTGTTCTTCTAAGAAGTATTTTAATTTATTATATTTTGTCATTTTGTGAAAAATAAGGCTGGAATAAATGCAATTCGTGAAGGTTACACAAGGTACACTCCCAATGCAGGTACGATGGAACTTCGTATGGCAATTTGTCATAAGCTAAAAGGTAAATGTATATGCTATGCGAGTACTTTCCTGATTTAAAAAGTGTAAAATTTGATGCTTGTTTACCTTTGAGGTAGGATGAGGAAGGGTTTCTCATGTTTTTTCTAGTTCTTTTTTACTTATTTCCTTTTAATATGTTGCAGAGGAGAATGGAATCTCATATACACCTGATCAAATTTTGGTCAGTAATGGTGCTAAGCAGAGTATCCTTCAAGCAGTTCTTGCAGTTTGTTCTCCTGGGGATGAGGTGAAGTTTTTCTATTTAACAATCTTTACCATAGAAAAGCTGTGGATATGCTTTAAAAAATCCTCCCCTGCCACCTCTTTTACCTAGTTGGAAGTTAATGTTATAGATCTATTTCCATCTTTCACCTGATGCCGAGCTATGTCTGCTTATCTTGCTGTCTTTCTTACTATCTTTGATCAAATCATAGAAGTTCATAGAACTAGGGACTTTCTAGTAATGACGGTATTTACCTTTGAATTGAGTGAATATTCTTTGGAATCTGGAATCCTTTCCATTGAATTCATTGTAGCATCAGAACAAGAATAAAATTCGGACACAAATGCTAAGCATGACTTATTTGTCCTTTCAGTTGAGCTTGTGCTGAGGAAGAAATGGATATATGTTTTGTTTTGGAACATGAATAGGAAAGTACGTATTTGAATTTAATTTGTTAGGCAAATTATGCTAATAGAATTTTTCAATATGTGAGAAAAGGATAGATTCAAATATCACCGATTTTGATATATAGTGAATTGGATTTGGAAGTGAGTTTGAAAAATCTATTGTCGTATGAGAATTTCGAAGGCTCCATTTACTTTAGATCTTAGTTTTTCATACACTGACTGCATCCATCAGTATAATTTTCAGAGTTAACCAAATTCAAATACCCCACGAAGTTCATGTTTCCAAACTTAACCATTGTTATCTCAATTTCTTTGCATTATTTAAAACCACATTTTCCTTTTACAAGAATGTATGGATATGTTTGTTAATCTATTAAATTGATTACAGAAACTTAACCATTGTTATCTCAATTTCTTTGCATTATTCAAAACCACATTTTCCTTTTACAAGAATGTATGGATATGTTTGTTAATCTATTAAATTGATTACAGTACCAGGTCTCAAATAAGAAATTACTGATGTACCACTTTGTATCCATTGATTATGCTATCAAAAGTTTCAGTTACAGCCATACATATTTAATTTCAAGTTGCTAGTCTACAAATTTAGTCAATAAGAAATGCCTTATGGATTTGAAATACTTGGCATGAAACAAAACAAATATTAGCCTAGCTTTGTCAGGAATGTTGAAAACTATAAAGAAGAAAATATTATAAAATTATAAATATTATGATATTTTCCTGCATGCTAGAATGTCATTTCCTGTTTATGTTGTTAGATATTCCTTCCAAATGTGTATGTCTGCAAGGAACGTTATTTACGTAATCATAATTATGCTTCCGGTGTTTTTAAGTAGAGCGATAAGAGGTGGTTTAATTATGAGCACATAACTTATTTCAGGTAATAATCCCTTCTCCATATTGGGTAAGTTACCCAGAAATGGCAAGGCTGGCTGATGCAACACCTGTTATTCTTCCGACACTCGTCTCTAAAAATTTTCTATTGGATCCAAAGCTCCTTGAGTCTAAAATCACTGCAAAGTCAAGACTGTTGATTCTATGTTCTCCATCCAACCCAACCGGATCTGTTTACCCTAAGAAACTGCTTGAAACAATTGCGGAAATTGTAGCAAAGCATCCCAGGCTCTTGGTACTATTACTTAGCCTGAACTCTCAGACATAGCCTATACTGATATTCAAACACTGAGTGATCTGTTATTGACTTATTCAGGTGCTATCTGATGAAATATACGAACATATAATTTATGCACCGGCAACTCACACGAGCTTTGCATCATTGCCAGGCATGTGGGAGCGGACTCTAACTGTCAATGGCTTTTCCAAGGTAATTCAATTTCATTTAAACCTAGGTTAAGTATTCCCTTCCACATAATTGATTAATTTTCCATGCTTAACTTTGGTATAATTCATTTGGTGGTCATTTTGAGCATTGACATTTTGAAGGTGACATATGTAGGCTTTTGCAATGACTGGTTGGCGACTCGGATATATTGCCGGACCTAAGCACTTTGTTGCAGCATGTAATAAAATCCAGAGTCAGGTGTGTTTCGTTATACCCATCACTTTCATATTCTGTTGAGCAAACTGGCATCTGGTATGCATTAGTGCAGTAATGCTATTGACTATAATAAGATTCGTTTTAAAAGCTATGAACTCTGGGAATAACTTTTCTTGGAGATCAAATGGATTTTGTTGCTAGTCTGATATATAGAATGATCAGACGACATGGCACTTTTTGTTGGGTTGGCTGTGGTATACAGTTGAGGACTACAGATGCGGACAATACTAATCTCTGACATATACGGTCAAGTATCTGAATATGCTTACACTAATGTTGTTTATTGGGGCTTATACCATTTTGGGATTTTTTTTTTTTTCATTTCCTAGTAGCCTTCTTTGAACCTCCCATACTTGAAGAAGCTAGTCAACATTTTACTTTTGGTATTACTGCCTGGCTCTGAAGAGGTTTAAACTAATCGTACCTACATCAATTTTAATTTGGTTCTTGCATCATACTGAAAGTTAAACTATTGTGGTAATTTTCAATGTTTTTCACAAGAATGAACAATTTGGGATATAGTTGTCAATTTCCTTGTTAAGGCTCGCTGTATATTTTAGAACATGGCACTTGCACAGTTATTTACGCATAAAAAGTTTAGAGACATTTAATCATCTCCAGTTAGAAGCTTTTTGAACCTCATAATTCTGATACTTGTTCAAGTTAGTCAATGTTTGTACTTTTGATATTACTCAAGCTGCTGAAGAGGTTTGAAAAAATTTTACCCTATGCACACTTTAGTTTGGTTCATTCTGCTTGTACTTAAAGTTGAACCAACGGGCTGCAGTGTTTGGAAAACTGAAATTGCTTGTGTTTGGAAAACCTCAAAATTGGTGCCATTAACTAACATAATGATCAAGTGCTGAAGGAAAGAACAATGGTTATTAAAGGAGTAAGCTTGAGTTGACTGTGCTAGTAGATGGGCACTTCTAAACATTTGCATATGTCTAACTAATTGAAACTGATATATTAAGAAGGATTCAAATTGTTGATCCCATATAATTAAGGCAATGGAATACCAATATGCCAATTAATGCCAATAGGCTGATATATCTATTAATGCACTTATGTATGTTATGCATATCAACACATTAATTTCTTTGTTAAATGTGTAGTTTCATTAGTTGAATCAATATGCAGAAAACTAACCTCAATTTGGTTTTTATTTTCTAGGTCACTTCAGGAGCTAGTAGTATAGCACAAAAAGCAGGAGTTGCTGCATTAGGCCTGGGCTATGCTGGTGGGGAAGCAGTTTCCACCATGGTGAAAGCATTCAGGGAACGGCGAGATTTCTTGGTTAAAAGCTTTGGGGAATTGGAAGGTGTTAAGATGTCAGAACCTCAGGTACACCAGTCTTGGCATAAAATCACTTACTGGGTAAACATAAACCTGATTTATTTATGAAAAATTCTGGTTTATGCATTTCACATTTTCTTCAATGTTTTGATATTTTAGCTTTTCAATTAACATACTTAAACCCGATTTATTTATGAAAAAAGCTGGTTTATGCATTTGTCATTTTCTTCAATGTTTTGATATTGTAGCTTTTCAATTAACATACTTCTTGCTTGCACTACTTCTGGTTTGCAGGGAGCTTTTTATCTCTTCATTGATTTCAGTTCTTACTACGGAATAGAAGCTGAAGGTTTTGGTAAAATTGAAAATTCAGAATCACTTTGTCGATACCTCCTGGACAAGGCTCAGGTATGCTTCATTGAATACTGTCAGGACCTTTCTTTTTAAAGTGATTGAGAAGGGTTAGGCTGTGTTAATCAATATTTTTGGAACTGCCTGAATATTCTGTTTGACATTGAAGATCAAACATCAAATACTGTTTCTAATGACTTACAGGTTGCACTAGTCCCTGGAGATGCATTTGGGGATGATAGCTGCATTCGCATATCCTATGCAGCATCCCTTACCACCTTACAAGCTGCTTTTGAGAGAATTAATAAAGCACTTATCACCCTGAGACCTGCTGTCCCTGTTTAACACAGATGAATTATCATGCAGCATATTGTAATCGTTGTACTTTATTTTGGGATTTGAACTTGTTATTTTTTGTAATAAGTTTATTGCATAAAATTCTGGCTTTTCTAGGTTCATTTATTCTCTTCTATGATTGTCCTGCATTTTCCTTCCAGAGGCCGAATCCCCACGGGTTTGAGAAAGGAAATATTATTACATGCTCATTTGTCATTATTGTGTTTGATAGGCCCGTTATGAAGTCATTAGGGTTATGGCAAAAAGAGCTATGGAAAACCCTTCACCACGGCTTTCCTTTTTGTAACTCGTTTTTCATTTGCCTTCAATTTGTTATAAAAAACAGTAATGTTAGCGTAGTATATGTTTACTTTCCATATTATATACTGTTCTTATAATTCGCCATTCTTGAGTTCAGAATGTTCCCAAGGAATATTTCTTTCTACGGTAGCTAGATCTAGGGCTCCAAGGAATCAATTCCCCTTCCAAACAAGTTTGCTTCATATGTTCCAACATAAAGATAGTATCTTGTTTATTTAGGTTTATCTGGCAGAATGGTAATTGGAAGAAAGGTTGAATCGTAAAACGACATTAAGGCTCAACGAGAGTTTCTCTGGCCATACTTGCTAAATGAATGTAATTCTAGTCTTTCAATAGGAGACAAAGCGGGAACTTTTCCAAAAGGTTTCAGGCTAAGGTTTCTGTTCCAAGAGAAAAAGCTAGATGGTAACATAATCAAGGAAAAGCAACCCTTTCCCTTTTTAGCCATAATATTCCTGCCTAGCAGGTATTTCCTTGCATTAAGGCATCCCTAAGAAGCTAAGGAACCCTTCATCCAAAGCCTAAAACTATGGACTTGAACCACAAGACAATCAATCTCTAATACCAAGAATTCTCTTCTTCCAGTCATGCATTACCTCCCTTTCCTTCCCATCTTCCTTCCCCATTTATACCATGATTATAATGCCAATGAATAATACCAAAAAACTTGAACCTAAAACTAGTAACTTGAAATGGAGGATTTTATTCCATGCCAAGAAGGGGCGGCAGAAATTGTGTTTTTTGATTTAGAAACTACAGTACCCAACAGAGCTGGCCAAAGGTTCTGGATATTGGAGTTTGGAGCAATTGTGGTTTGTCCAAGGAAGCTCGTTGAGCTGGAGAGTTTTAGCACCCTGATAAGGCCTAAGGACTTGTCTGCTGTAGCATTGAGGTCTGGTCGATGTGATGGGATTACTAGGGGAGCTGTTGCAAATGCACCAGAATTTGAGGAAGTTGCTGACAAAATATTTAGCCTTTTGAATGGTAGGATTTGGGCGGGCCATAACATTCAGAGATTTGATTGTGTGCGCATTAAGGAGGCCTTTGCTGAGATTGGTAGGCCTGCTCCTTTATCTGTTGGGATCATTGATTCTTTAGTAGTCCTGACTGAGAAGTTTGGCAGAAGAGCTGGAAATATGAAGGTAAAATTCACATTTCTAAGAATAATTTATGGCTCTTATCAGAAATTGAGGCAATTTTTAGACATAATAAAATCTTTGTTACACCCCTAGAATCTCAATTTCTTTGAGATTGAGATTGAATATTCTCTCCTGTAATAATGTTCACAAATTTTTCCAACCCTTCATGCAGATGGCGAGCTTAGCTACTTACTTTGGGCTTGGGCAGCAAAAGCACAGGTATGGGAATCTTTTTGTGTTAGATACCTGAATCCATGTGGGGAATATGTTGTTGAACAAATGAGAAAAAAAAATAACGGAAGGAAATGATCATAATCATGGTTTTATCTATAATAATTTCCTTAAACAGGAGCCTGGATGATGTTCGAATGAATTTGGAGGTTCTAAAGCATTGTGCAACTGTGCTCCTTTTGGTATGTCCTGAAACATTCAGTAATGAATTCCAGCATCAATTTCATTAACTTTTATGTTGATAACTTCTGTTTCAGAATTTAAAGCTATGGGTTTTTATGATGTTAGGAATCAAGCCTCCCTAGCATCTTGAATGGCAGTACTTGGCACAGCAACCCCACAATAACGGCACGAAGTAGAAGGAGTACAGGAAAATTGATATGCAGGGAAGAAACCAGCAGGAAATCTCCCCCAACTTCTAGCGGACATCAAAGAACAGTACCCTACTCAAGGGGAAGTTTGCGAAAGGTTTTACCACTAAATAATAGCTATCTTAATCACATGTTAATTTGTCAGTAATTAATTATTTAAGCATTGTTATTGAAGCAGATGACAGAAAGAGTAAAAAATCTCCTGTGCAAAACCCAAGGAAGCCAGCCACTTAACAACTTGCTCAAGCATTCACATTCAGTGCTCCGATGAGATCAGAAAAGAAGGCAGATTTCGGATGAGAGGAGGAACAAAAGATAAAAGGAGATTGCAAACTTAATTGGAATTTTCAAGTGTGTTTCAGATTGACGAGGGTCCTGTAAAGGGTTCCTCTTCAATGCGAATATGACATGCATGCTTAAGAGGGTCTTTCCTTGCTTATTAATTAGATGAATTTAATATAAAAATTATGAGAACTTGGGACACCCTTTTTTGTGGACTATTCATTAATTGCAAAATTCCGATTATCTGTAAGTTTGAATTAATCAAGTGAAGTTCCGCATGATAAATTCTGTACCATCTATTGAACTGCTCCAGGTTTCCTTAGGAGCTCAATCATTATCTGTTTCTATTGAATCTGCTCCGTTAGCATGTCGAATTTTATCATTATGTATAAAAATTCTTTAATTTGGTTAAACTCAAAAGAATTTCACTTATATTTTAGATCAACCTAAAATTTAGGATAAATATATTTGAGTAGATTTTTAGATTTAAATTATCGAATCAAACAAAGATTATGTAAAGTGTTAATATCATGCCTAAACTTGATTCCTCTTAACCTATGGATACTTGCAAGATTGAGTATCAAATGCCTTTCTTTTTTTTTTTTTTTTCCATTTTTAGTCCGTAAAACAAAAATATAGAGATTGAAATTCAACATTATTGAATACAATCTAATGCATCTAAAGATAGTTGTGAGGATGCATTTGATAATTAAAGCTACATAGACAAATTCGCTAGTGAGAATTTTGTTGATTTTCTTTTTTCTTCTTCTTTCCTCTATCACTGAAAAGTGAAACAAAGAATAGCAAAGATTAAACTCCCATGCTATATTAATTCACCTTGGCTTTTACATGTATGTAATCCGAATTTTCTATTTTCATGATTGTTAAATCTCTGCCCTTTCTTAACATGAAAGATATATAATAATTGCCAATAGTCTGCGAGGTTTATTGGTGGAGAAATGTACTTTTATTTCCACATTTAAATTATAACAGATTCAAATGAAAATAAAAAAAGAAAGATATATAATAATAATCATTAAATTGAATCTTGTTGCTCGCAAAAAAAATCTCACATCCGCAAGATGTGCAATTTTCTACTCTTTTCCTTTTCTTTTCTTTTGGATAAGAACAGGCAATTTTGTAGGTCAATATAATATCTTCTTATCACATGCAATAAAATTGAAAGGATACTAACACTAGTAGAATTGATGAAGAAATCAATGGTTGGAATTGGAGGGATTAGCTGAAGACTAGGCATCTTCTCGATTGAATATCTCTCTCTCCCTCTTCCAACTCTCAAGTTCTTTCAATAACGGTCCTTTGCTTTCCTCCTCTCAATCATATTCCTTCATTCGAGCTTGCTTTTCCTTCTTGATCTCGTATCCTATGTTAAAACACATTATCTCTTTTTGGTTGAAATGAAGAAAAAGAGACAGTTTATGACAATATCTATTCTGTTGACATTTATAATTTTGTTATTGCTTCTTGTTGTTAGAGTTTTTTTTTTTGTCGACTATGACGATGAACACAAGATATTGAGATCACTTTAATTTAAGGATAAGCAAGGTCACAAGCTTTCATGTTTTGGGCAACTTGGCACCAACCAGCCTTGGTTGCCATGGTTTTTATTATTTGATAATTGGTTGGGAACTTTTTGTCCTCAAGACGATAGCCCATAATTAAGAGCTCATATCTCAATTTGAAAGTTTGAGATTCGAACCTTGAGAAGATAGAGAAACAAGATTCATTAGGCAAGATAAAATTACCTTTTATTATGTAACACAATATTATATATATTAAAAAAGTTTTAATTGAGATTTATTTAAATATATATATATATAATGCATCCGATCATTTGGTTCAAATTATAAGTATATATATCTCTACTCAAAAAGTACAGTTTGAATCCATTTCTTTAAATAAAAAAACTATAGATGAACAGGTAATTCCATCTTTCTAGATACTTTGTTCTCATGGTATTAAGGGTGAGCAAGACCGATCGAAACTGAACGAATTCGGTTGAATCGGTTCGATTTATTTAGTTTTAGTTATAATTGATTTTTTAAATCGATTAAATTGATTAATTCGATCGGTTTTTGATTTTTAAAATTGATAACTGTACTAACCGAATTAACTGACTTTCTAATAATTAAAAATAAAAAAATTAAGATAAATATTTTTATTTTTATTTTTTTTTAAAATATTATTGAAATTATTAAATTCTTTAATAATTTAGTTTGAATGATACTAGAATTTTATTGAATTGAATTTGTGGTTAAATAATTATTAATAACAAAAAAAAATGATAAAAAAAATTGATTATTTAATTGAATCGACTGAATCAAATCAATTTTGATTAATTCGATTATGATCGATTATTTAATAATATTCGATCAATTTAATTATTTATTAAATAAAAATTAATTAAATTAATTATTAATTTTTTTAAATCGAACCGATCATTTACTCACATTTTAATCTTACATGGTATATCTCGGTTCCTATGGATGGCAGAAATCAACTTTACATGGGCTATAGGTAGCCCTTCATAAAAAGGCTAGAAGGTAAAAAAAAAAAAAACCATAAGCTGCAGCACAAAATAACGAGTTAAAACTTCCAATTTAGGAGGTCAACAGAGAGCCAGGCCTAGCCATGCCATAATAGAGTTGCTAGTTGGAACAACCAAGCCCAACCTTTTCCAGGGGATTGATGCAGAAAATTAAGGGAGCTAGCTTGGACTATCAATTACCAAGTATCAAGTATAAAATGCATCGGTTAGTAAAGGTGTAATATGACGGTCAACACTAAATTTTGAATATATTACTCTATTTATCCTTTTTTTTTTCAAACGAAATTAACTTTGATCATTATTTTTTAAAAAGCTAGGTTAAATTAAAATTCTATTTTTTTTAATTTAAACTTCAAATTCTACAAATTTTATTTTTAAAATTTTATAACATTATGGTTTTATTAAAAATATTTGTCAAAGTTGAGTTGGTTTTAACAATTCAAACAACATTCTTAAGAAAATTAAATTGAAATGAGAGACCGTGAATCTATACTATTGCAAAAAGCATAGAATATTTTATTATGGAAGAAAAAGAAGCAAGTCCTTTTACTTTTAAGTTTTAACCAGCTACTACATAATTTATTTCCCTCGCAAAATAAATTAACATTTAAATAATTTGTTCTATGCAGGTGGATGGTGTATATATAGGGAGGTAAAGAAAATGAAGATTAACAAAATCATGACAATTAATATATATATATATATATGAACAATATAATTAATACAAGAATGATAAAAAGAAAAGCAAAATTCATTATTAATTTCTACATGGACCTATATTTCATCCTTTGCATTCTAACATGAGATCGTTTCTTTAGTCCGTCGAGTTGTTTTTCCCAAACATCTCTTGGAAATTTTGATCTTCTTTCCTCCATCAAACAGTCAACAACTCCATACCCCATTGGATTAACCAAACCCAACTCATAATCATACATTTCACGAGAAATTGGATCCGAAAGTGTCTCGTAAGCCATTTGAAGCTCAAGAAATCGCTTTGTGGATTCTTCTTTGGCTGAAGGAGGGCAAACATCGGGGTGGTATTGAAGAACCATTCTTCTATAAGCCTTCTTTATTTCATCTAAACCCACATTCTCAGAATCGAGAGAAAGAACTTTATAAAAGTTGGTCTTTGCTCTTTGCATAGCTAAATTATCAACCCTACATGATATAGCTTTAACCTTATTATAAGGCTTTTGCCTGAACACGAATTTTGATGTCGTTGAAACCATTTTGCTCGTGTTCAGATTCACTTGCATGGGAATCTCCATATGAATGTGCTTGTATCACGGCTCGTAAGCTTTAGCTGCAAACTTCCTGCAGTCTAATAAGGCAAATTCTGTCAAATATGCGGGGTTGGCCCCGAACTCGCTGACGGCTGTTTGAGAAAAGAAGGTGAGGATTGAGGAAGGAGGAGGTAGATTTGAGATGGAGTGAGCTCTAAATGAAGATGTTCGAGCTCAAGGTCATTAAAGACAGCTGATTTATTTATACACAATTAAACGCCTTTTTTTTATCTTTGGACCTATTCGCTTTAGGATTTAGCGTTAAATAATGTTTCGGCATAAAGTCGTCGTCCTTGGCTTTGTTAGGTCGTTTCGTCTTTGATTGCTAGTTGCTACAGCTGCTTTTCACGATTGCATTTGGTCACCAAACCTAATCTATTTTTTTTAATATATTATTCATGAGAGTCATTGAGCCTAACTTTCCCTTTTCGTTTCAAATTTGTTACGTGGAAAAAATGAGGAAAAAGATGAACACATGTAGGGTTAAATGTATAGGTTTTCTTAAAACAAAAAAAACGTAAAGGTTAAAGGCTAATATATTACAAAAAATTATTTTTTAAATAAGTTTTTACATGTTTTTATAGCCAAGTAAGTCATTATTTTTTTATTTGTATCTAAATCCTCATTTTAAATAAAAATTTTATTTACATTAATGATTTATTTAAGTATAAAATAAATATTAAAAAATTATTTAGATACAAATTAAAAATCTAAATGCTTATTTAAATATACATTAAAAGAGTAAAGATTTATTTGAATACAATATAAATATAAAAATTTATCTAAATAAAATAATAAAATTTAAAATTTTGTTGTTATTTTAGTTAAAATAAAACAAAGGGTTCTAGAATATAAGACTTGGTATGTAAAGATTAATATTACATACTATGAGAGAGAAAGTTTGTGTAAATGGAATAAAAAATTTGTTTGAGTGGAAAGCTATGACAAGAATCATAGATTGAGAAGTTATTTTGAAATAATATATATATTTCTATATGTGGATTCATGAAAACTTATAAACCAAAAATCTCATGTTAATATGTGCTTTTTATTCCAAAATCGTGCCGTTTCCAAAAGTAATGTTTTATGCAAACATTGTGTCTCTTTGCCTAATATGTGAAAGATCACAGCTCTAGATCAAAAGTGTTCAATTTGTTGGGATTTGGGTTTGACGACATTCCAGTGATCGAGTCAATTTTTTTGTACCCAAAGTAAAAAATCACATCCAGGTAAAGGCCAGAAACAATCTATACTGTAATTTGCTCCTTTCCCGTTAACAGTTCATCCAGCCGTTTGCATACCAAAAAATAAAGTATATTTGTTGGGCCGAAATTTATTTGTTCAATCAAAGGCAAAGGAAAATTGCAGCAAAGCTGCACGAAACCAAGTGGCTTTTGCTTGTCTGCTTGTTGGATTCTCTTAGGAATGCACATTGTTTTGCCTTGGATGGCCTAGCAATTCCTCATTTTTCTTGTCTGTATTTAGTAATCTTAAATAATTTAGACAATTAACAATAAGTGATTGATTCAATCGATTAGATTCGTTTTCTTTGACGAAAAAATTTTTGGTTTAAATTTTATCAGTGATCATCTGCTGTGAGATATTACACATCTTATCTTGACTTGAGGGACTAAATAATTTATCTACTTCAATTTTTTTTTAAATAATAATTTAGACACTTGTTTTTTGTCTGGATTGGTTTATCAAACTAACCCATTTGAAATTAAATTATTATATTCCTTATAAACTTTACCTGTATTTGCCATTATAAGTATTGATTAAGCCGGCACATAATCCACATTGAAATTGCACGATAGCCAAAGTTCAACCTCAGGGAAGACATAAGTTCCATTGAAATTATTATTTTAACCTAAAGCAAACTTAAAATGACAAAAATCTAAGAGTATAATTAAAATCTTAATTGCCTAAAATAAATAATAGCTCTAGCCGTCTTTAGAACTGATAACTTTATATAAAATATAATGGTACAATATAAAAATTATATTAAAATAATATAATTTAAAATTTTATTTAAAATTAAACATGAATTTAAATAAAAATTAAAAAATATATTTTATATTTAATGTGTAACATCAATTATAACACGAAAATTTAATATTTTATAAATATTTAACACAAAATAAATATAATACAAATACGTAATTTTACTTTTATATTTTACACGTACTTATTTTGAAAAAATCCAAACAATAAGCCACAACAACCTCAAATTTCTTATTTAGTGGACTTCTAATTGTATTTTGTTTTCATTATATTTCCATAAATAAAATAGAAAGAAACAAATTAACAGATGGGTATCGATAAAAAAATTTTCTCTAGTGTTTTTTGTTTGTAGTTGGTGAAATTTGGTACTACAAACTTATCTAAAATTTAATTTCTAGTCTATAATGAAATCAATCCATGAGAAAATCCAAAAATCATATGGGAATCTGATTTTTTTTTTTGTCCATCCTAAGGCATTGCCTTTGCGTGGCTCATCCAGAAGCCGGCCTAGTATATAATTTCGTGGAAAACGTAAGCTAGAGTTGGTACTACTTCTTGACATTTGAAGTAGTATGCTAAATTGTCCGAAGATATTATTCAAAAGTATAAAAAAAATATTTTGTTAAGAATAATTCAAGAATAGTGGGTGAACCATTAAGGTTAAATCATCCGAATTTTTCCTTTTTTCTTCTATTTTCGTAATTCAAACCTAATAATTTTACTCAAATTGGCACCCTCTAAGAGAGGCTTGATCAATTAAGCACAAGTGGGAAGTGACTTTTTCTACTCCCTACCTACTATGATTTTTGTCTTTTCCTTTTGTCTTCATGTTTTATGGGCAATTTTTATTTTTTATTCTTTGAATTGGTGAATTTGTTTATTCAAAAGCAAATATAATAAAAGGATATATTTTAATAGGTGTTTAGAGTACAAGTTAACATTTAATTAAACTTTTGTTTTAGTTAAAAATTTTTTATTTAATATACTATTTTCATCAAATTTAGAAAGAAATTAATACATTATAGGCACTTTAATATTTCCCTAGATATAAGATCTACTACAATGAAAAAAAAAAGTAAAGAAAACAATATCCTACTTATTAATAATGATTTCTAACAAGATTAAAAGGCGACCACATGTTTCGTTAGGATATATTTATAAAAATCAATAAATTTATATAAAAAATAATAAATATGTAGCAACATCCTAATAGCATTCGTGAAATTTAAAAGGCTAAAATATTTTTTTAAATTTAAATTATTTCACTTTTTTAATTAAGTTTTTATTTTTTTATTATATCCGTATAAATTTTATCTTTTTATTTATATCCAAGTAAGTTTTATTTTAATGAAATTATTGCAATTTTTTTCTGATTATCTTTAATCAAGTAAAATTAACTCTTTACATAAAAAAAGATTTTACTTCAGATAATTGTGATCATGAAAAACTAATATCTTACATGCATAATGTTTTATGTTAAGGGTTTATTTAAATATAAATTAAAGGTTAATAGCTCATTTGGATATAAATTAACAATTAAGAGTTTATTTGAATGTAATAAAAATATAAATGTTTATTTAAATAAAATGATAAAATTTTAAAAAAATTTTGTTATTCTAATCAATTTAAATACCGATGTGTAAAAAATAAGCTCAAAGATAAATAATGGGCGTTGAAATTTGTTATCCTTGGGCTTTCTGTTCGGGAAAATGGCAGGTCACCCTGGCCCAATTAGAGTTCTGTTTTGCCACGAGTTCCGCACACCTAACAATTTCTAATTGGCCCAGAGTTACTCGTCAGTTGCCCCAAATTAAGCCATAGGATCAATTTTCAGGCACAAAATTTAGAAAAGCATGGGCCTCGACACCGTATTTCAACCGAACGTGAACGCAGATAATAGTAAACTGCACTCTATCACAACTTTACAAAGAGCAATTTAATTAAATTATAAATCAAATTTAAATATAAAAATTTTAAATTTTGAAATTAAATCGAATTTAAATCTTATATTATGTAAATTTAATTTGAGTCTATTACAGCCTATGCATAACACAATGAAATATCATTTTTGTTTTTATACGATAATCATCATGAGTCTTCTCAGAAGATTCTACTGAAATCATGTAAAAGAAACATAATTTTTATATTAAATTTTAAATGAATGAAAAGTGAGGATAATGGTAGATGGGTAGAGTCACAGTCACCTTTAACTATTCCATCAAGTTACAGGAAAAGTAATCAATTTGTGGAGTTTTCTTGGCCAGTGTTTTCAGAGCGCCTGGATTATTCTGTCTTGTCAGAGACTAAGGCAGGGAGACATCTTCGCTTGTGAAAGCGTAAATAAATTGTATAATCTTATATTTTGTGGGACAAAATTTATTTTAAAGTAAAAAAAATGGGGTCCAGAAAATGTGTTAATATGGACGTGTTTCAACCACCAAATTTTCTTCTTACAAATCACATGCTTCAATTTATTTATGCTAGAAAAAGGCCCTTTAATTGTTGGCGTTTGGAGCCTAAATAAAAGTTCTATGAAAAATGCCAGAGCTTTCCTTATCATTGTTTGCTGAATTTACTGGATTTTTCAAGATGTCCTTGTGCTAGTTTCAGATGGTTTAAATTTTCAATGACAATTTGATTGATCGGAACATAAGTTGACTCTTGACTTAGAAGAAAATTTCTACTTTTTGTTCTAGATTAGATGCCAGAAATTTGTATTAATTTTGATATATTTTCTTTTGACTAAAATAGTAAAAAAAAGTTTTAATTTTATCGTTTTATTTAAATAATTTTTTATTTTTATTATATTTAACTAAAATTTTACATCAATTTAAACCCAAGTAATCCTTTAACTTTTAATGTGTATTTAAATAAGTAATTAATTTTTAATTTATATATAAGTAAACTCCTAATATAAATTAATATTTTATTTAAAATAAAAATTTATTAAGACACAAATCAAAAAATAAAAATTTATTTAA